AGTCCTCAAAATTACCCAGATTACAATGTTATTATCATTATCACAGCAAAGCACCAACTGTCATCTTTTCGGGTTAGAAAAGTTCAAAGACAGAACACACACAAGATGGCAGGTCCAATAACCCAGATTATATTGATGAGAGCACATGGTAATAAACATGACCACTGTACACCATGTGGGCTCATAGAATCATTCAAAAAGCTGAACAGTCAATATAAAACATCTGTCCCAGGTGCCCACCCAGTGGCAGCTCATCCCAGTTTCCTTAGCATGAAGTGACTAAGAAGTATTTTTCCTCCCAACAGAATGGAAAGTCAGTTAATAACAACAGGTGGAGAGAGGCACTGTGGGAGGAAAGTGTTTAAGCCAAGAACACAATACAATGACCTGGCCAGGTCTTGAACCCAGACCTCTTGACTCAGAGTCCACTGTATTAACCAATCTGGACACAACATCTTTTAGAAAAATATTGTAACATGAATTTTATCAGGGTCCTTAAAATTTCTATCACTGTCAGACAAAGAAAACCTGCTTTGGGAAAGGACCTTTACAATTCTTACCTCGACAACAGTTCCTTTTGTTATGACTCCTAGTTGTGTGTACATTGGTGACTGGGGATTCTTTTTCACTCCAATAATAGGAAGACAAAATGTTGCTTTTAACTGAAAAGTAACAAAAGTATGTAATAAACGTAGTAAATTATCTCAAAGACCAAGTTGAATAAGATGCAAAATTGAGTATGAACCAAGAATTTCTTCCACAGGTTAAAGCTAATTGGTTTACATTCACTGTAATTTTAGCATGAGTCAATTGGTGAAACTTCAAACCATGTAAAATTCAGGATCTCACCTCAGGGTGTGTGACATGAGCCTTCTTGAATCTTAAACCCTAAACAAGAGCAACGAAAAGAAATGGAACAATATTTCATTTCAGCTTAATCAAAGATCACCCACCAGTTGAAATATGCAAAGTAGACAGTTAATGTAAGTTCAATCTTTACTCTAATGTTGTTAATTTCAGAGAAAATAGGCAGCTATTTTGCTCCTCATAGATGGTAAACATTGCTGGTTGCTGGCTGCTAATGGAGCCTGTGCAGAATGAGGATGTGGTATCTTGTAGTGCAAGTATGCACATACAATGTACAGGTAAGGCTATGCATACAGGCATTATAAATGAGTCAATGCATACTGGCATTGTTTAAGAAGGAAGATCTCACCATTGGTCTGATAAACCTCTCATACTTTGGGGGTTTCCTTGTAAACCCTTCCCCAACATAACAGACCTTGGTTACCATCCTTTTCCATGCTTTTTCTAAAAGAAAAAAAAAACACAATCTTACAAAAACACAAAATACCTTCCCCTGAGATAATGAGACCATTGATTTGTGGTAAAATACAAAAATATGCTTATACAATGACCACTATTTCATGTACATGTACACTGATGACATTTTCCTGATGGGATTTCAATATCTGGCATGCCTCCACAACGTACCCTATAACTTTTTTTCTCTGTTAGCAGCCTCAAAGATGTACTGGGTAACTCAAGTTTAGATTTGACCAAACTCTGACATGTTTGAAGCAGCTTATACCAACCCTCCCAGATTTGAAATGAAAAAGGTGTGGCACATGGCATACACATTGATACAGCTGCTTAAGGGGTTCAATTGGCCAAAAGAGCCAATTTATCCATGACTTAATCACATTATCTAACTTTTGCATGGTTAAATTTTCCTGGGCACCATTATCACGAATAATGTGTTTAAATTCAGTACAGGTAGCATTTAACAGCCCGAAAACTTACTTTTGGACCTCCCTGTTTTGACAATTTTGAAAACTTCATCTTCCCCAACAGCTTTTACTTTAGGAAGTGGTACATCCCATTTTCCCTAATGACAAGCAAATAGTATTGCAGTTTGATTAATTACATAGAATTTCATGTGCTGTTAATGATACCAGTTGAATAAATTTCCAATACACTTGGAGAGATTATATTTTCCTGTTGGAGAAACAGGTTTACAAATGAAAGAGAGGAAGAGAAAGAAATTCTAAGGCTGGCTGTTGAAAAACATGGTTGAGTTTGATGTCTTTGAAGAGAGTTTCAATGTTAACTTTCTCTTTCCTTCCATTTTTCCTTGCACTCAAGTAAAACAACACTGAAATGTGCTGTTCTACCTGACCCTGACTTCTAATCCAGAATTTTCACAAACTGTCTTTCACATAATTTGCCCAAGGATTCTAACTTGTGGCCTTATGATCAGATCATTTATTTGCATGCTCTACCGGTGAGCTGTAAAGTTAACACAACTTACCGCTTTCTCCTTTCTCTTTTGTTTGATCATATTACTGAGCACCTTTGCTCGTGATTGCCCTTCTCTGTCCAACAGATATGCAGGAACTGCACCTTCTGGTACATTTTGGCTGTCTTTTGTCTTTGTCTGACGTTCTTCATGCATTCTTAGTCTGTTAAATATTGAAATCATTAAGATAACATCAAAGAATCACACTATCTATATAATAATATGGCAGAGAACAACAAGTGCAACAAAACATGTTATTAATGAGCATCCCCTTACGTCTTTTTCATCTGTATTTTTTCAAGGCGGCGCTTTTCATTATACATCTTGGCCCTGTCAAAGAGAAAGGACAATCTCAAACTTTGAAAAGGGGCAACAATACACATCATCAGAATTAAAATTTGCTGTTTTCTGTGTTTAACCAAATGAGTGGTGTTGCTAATTTAAGCTGCATCTTACACAAAAGTGTACCACGCCCTCTAATTCCTAACAAACACCTTGCAGGAATATAGACGTGCACCAAGGAACTGTCAGGAAATCATGACAAAGTGCTCAGGGGAAAGGAGGAGAAGCATTCATAATGAAATAACATCCTGCCAGAGAGGAATAGGAACATTCTAAGTTGCTTCACACTATGGCAACTGGGATAAAGTGGGGCAATGGGGCAATGGATCACCAGTCCAGAGAGGATTATTCAACCTTTTCAAACAGTTAATGAAGTAACATGAACATTTAACTTACTTGAGGCCATGGAGTTTGTGGGCATACTTTGCATGAGTATGTGGCTCACGACTTTCTTTTTTACGCCTAAAATACGCAAAGTTACTCAAATGTTAGTGTCATTCATTACCGTAAATAACAGTTCGCTGAAAAATCAACCAAACAATGGTGATCTACTGACTGATATAAGAACAAAGACTACATGAATTTGTGCCTACGTGATTTGAACTCCTAATCAATACTTCATGAAACTACATTCTATTGGAATCAATTACCAGATTGGCCCTGCTATTTGAATAATTACAACTCTCTCCCTGTTTATATTTCCACGGTGAAATTTATCTATCTATTTCGATTTTAATCTGAATTGTCCTCTGTACAACTCAGCTGTTTTATCTCTCTGTCTCTGTATCTCTCTTTCTCTGTCTCACTTACTTCTTTTCGAAGTGATCGAGTCTGTATCCACGGCGTTTCCTAGACTGTTCAACGTATTCATTTTGCGGCTGAAATGATGAGCATGTTCGTTAGCTCTTTGACTCAAGATCGATCGTATCATTTGACCCTATCAACGTGCCCACAACTTCGTCTTCATAGGGTAAATTCAAAGGGAATAATACAGCAAAAACAGTGTTCTTAAAGGCCAGTGTATAAAACTGTAGCACTCACCATGGCTGTATCTTCTTTTTCTTATTGTAATAAATCGTTGTTGGTGTAAAGAAACTCGAAATCTTCACTGTTTGGGTAACGATTTTATTACACACGTTCGAGTAGTTTGTCAGCCATGCCTGAGAGACCTTCCCATAATGCAATGTTGCGGTCTGTGGTGCAACACTTTTCGTCACCAGTTTACCTCGACCTTGTTACAACTTTACTCCTTCACAAAACTCCACATGGAGCGTTTCACTTATTTTCATTTGCAATATATGACAAATTTCCAAAACATGCATCTGGCCCAACATTTTCTCTCTAGTTCACCGAAGTAGAGGTGGTTAGTGATGAATATTTACCGAGCTGCGAAGCGGAAGAAGATTCATCGACATCATCGACAAATTGACAAATTTGAAGCCCAACAGACTGTGCTTGTAATCCTTGAAACAAATTTTTTCATCTGCTTCATTAAAAGGCAACTTTTTTCTTCCCTAGGTGACATTGACAGCAAGACCTTGTGAGTGCGAAGGGGGTTGGGGGAAGGGGCATCTGGCGTAATGTCGTGTCGCCGGGTCCTGCAATAAAAATTCGTAGTTTTTCTACCCTGTTCGAGACAAATAATTGTTTTAGATTGTGGTTTATCGCCTTCATCAAGCCACGTCTAGCATGATCATTGAGAATATCTCAAACGAGAAATAAAAGTTGTTACTCACGTATTGCCATTTGCCAACGTCTACACTATCGGCGTTAACTTTGAAAAAAAGGGAACATCCCTTGAGAAACAAAAGATTTTCAGAGTTTTAGCAGTGGAGTATAAAGTCACGAAACGCTAGTTACCCTTTGCACTCAAATATCAGTATAAATATTCTCTATACTATTTTCTGTATAGTTCTTTAGTTGGTGATTATTTCCTTTATTCGTGACTTATATGTTTGGTTTAGGGTGATATTGTAAGGAGAAATAAGATGCTTCTCATTATTCGGGACAAAGGGTTAAATCAATCTACATCGTGCATTACACCTTTGTTTGCATGAAACCCTCTCTAAAAAACTCTTGAACCTTTACACCCTAAGATCAGTTTGCTTATTCTCCATACTGTTCTCTGAACATTTTTCATGTTGCTGACAAGGAGAATTTGCTTAACAATCAAGAGTTTCCTTAGTTAGTGATCATTTCTTTTATTCTCGTGACCTTTATGTGTGATTCAAGGTTGATACTGTAAGGAGAAATTAGATGATAATCACACTATGAGGTTAAAGGGTTAAAAGGTTTTTTAGTCTATTGGGATTCTATGCAAGTATAGACAATTCTACTGTACAACCCGAGAAAAATTAGATGTTGGTCAAAGAGAATTTAATGCGGGTCAAATAGTAGTGAGATATTTTACATTCAGCTATGAAATCACGAGGTTTTGTACAGTAAAAGAGATTCTCTCATTAAACCCAAAAATTACATGACTATTAAAACGACGATCTTATGTTTTCGCGCAAAAAAAACATAAAACAAAAACAAAACAACAGCCCTAACTTCAGACGGGTAACACCATATTAAAAACTGATATCAGAAAAAGACAACAAAGACAATAATTTTCCAAGCAGTAAATACGATATTGGACTATTCATAAAAGTGCCAAGTAGATTTTTCCCCAGTATCGCGCGTTTCTCTTATGTCTTCGTTTCTCGTTGAAAATATCTTCAAGCGCTATAAACATTTTCCTGCCGGAAGAACGATGGGTGTAACAATCTTGGAAGTTAACTGTTGATGGTCCATACAGTCAATGTTGAATGTTCATTTTGTTATTTTTATGCCCTTGAACTGACGTCCCCAGCATATATTTCTTCTTGTTCCTCATTCGCTTCGGCACTAGGGGCCTCTTCTTCAGGGGCCAAGACGTATTCAGCTTTTTTACTTCCATCGACCACGTGTTCATCTATATAAACTGTCCGGATGTTAGAGCCAGGTGTATCAAACATGGGGTCTAATAGCAAATTCTCCTAGAAGATTAAAATTATGCATTAATAAAACCTTAAAAAAATCATTAATAAAATTACATATATTGATCTAATCTTTCTCTTAAAATATTTTGGCTGGAAAGAATCTGCACCAAAACGAAAATGGCGAGAAAGAACTCTTCCTTTGGTGACACTGGGTTATCTTTTACTGATCGGTAGAATCCACGAGAGGTACAACAGACGGAATTATTTAACAGAGCAAATTTTCAGTATTGAATGTTAAAAGTAATCTAGGTTTGCGGCGGCTTTGCCTTGCTTCACCCTGTAAATGTTCCAAAAAATATCCACAACCCTCTCCACGTCCGGAGCTAAAACCATGAATTAGTCAGTCGCGTGTTGCCGCGCTCCTGTTTTAATCGTTAATTCTCGTTGACTCCTTGAGAGAGTTATCTTAGCTCTCTCATTACTCTGGTATTCTGATTCTACATCAGTGAGAGTTCTACCTGTCGATTCATTGACCATGTCCTTACCAGTATGGCTCTCAGACCACGTGCTCCCGTCTTCTTTTCCAAAGCTTTGTTAGCGATTAACTTCAAGGCATCAGGACTGAGGTTTAGTTCAACCTAGGAAAGACACTCTCAGTTAACAGAAAATCCCTGGCACAAACATACCACCATTTTAAACTATCATGCACAATTTGGGAATAAACCTGTAAGTAAATGGTAAATTTTCTCAAATGGAGGTTGGATAACACACGTTTAACACCGAAGCGCCAAGTTGAAGAGAGCTGCCGGAGACAGGATAGTCTGGCGGGTAAGCTAGGTGACTTGACGAAAGACACTATGACGATCTCGTTTCTTTGTTGTGGGTACGACCCGAAAAAAATACTACCGGGGGGGAGGGTAAATTTTAGCATTCATTTAGGAGGGGAGGGGGGGGGCAGACAAAACAACACAACACGCTTAAGGAGATAAAATAAAAGATTCATTCATGTCACAGAGAGGGCCGGATCAAGGCTCGTTAGGAAAACTGAAAAAAGGATCTGATATCGAGGTCATACCTTGTCCATGTTAAACAGTGCTTGGTACTGTGGTACCAGAGCGTTTCTAGGTTCAGTCAGTATCTTCACAAGCGATTCCTCATCCAAAGAGTGTAAACTGACCACCACAGGAAGTCGACCCACAAATTCGGGTATCATCCCGAACTCAACCAGATCCCGCGCCTCCACCTTACTGAGCAACTTGTCCCGCTCGGCGTTATCATCTCTAACATCAGGCTGGTAATTCTTGAAGATGTCAAGCTCTTTTCCTTTAGAACCACGATCGCTGGTGGGTGCTCCAAACCCGATCACCTGGAGTAACAGTACCAACAGATTAATATCGTTTTTTACGATTAACAACAACAAAAATTCTCAACAGAAGGGAAAATTAAAATTGTAACATGCTTACCTCAACTGCAACCTTAACTAACCCGAAGAAGTTTTTTTTCTTCTCCACAACGCTTGCTCAAATATTAGCATACTTACTAATAATGTTATCTTATCTTTGGAGCCATTTTTGCTTTGGTACAATGACTATGTTGCTATGCATTTGGCTATGATCCTGTGGAACTAAATCTTACCCTTTTCGAGACTTTTTTTTTCCTATTCACTATCAGAACAAACAGAGCCGGTAGTAATATGTATTCGGATCATATTGGAAATTGTGCAATAAGAAGAAATAAAAAATAATTGTTTCGTTGGTAATAAAGTATCAAACAAAGTTTTTCGCGCATTTAAACACACGAGGAAACATGACAAATGCAGAAGATGTTGAGCAATCTTTTTATTTCGGTATATTGCTTGGGTAGTTGTTGAAAGTTTCCGTCAACATTAATAATAAGTACCTTCTCTTGATTTCTCTTCTTGATAATTCGATCCAGTCCATTGAATGCTCCAGATGCTACAAACAATATGTTCGTGGTATCCACAGCTACACTGTCCCCGCGCATCTTTCGTGAGTTTCTCTCTGGGACATTTACCACCGTCCCTTCAAGGATCTTCAACAAACCCTACAAACAAAATAATTTTAAAATATAAATCGATCATTCCTATCTAAAACTGTCCGAGCTTGTTAATAATTAAACAGATAAGAACGTCAAAGCCCTCCTCAAAAAGCCAGCTTGGCCAAAGGAAAAAAGCGCGAAGACGTTATGGATCTCGATGGTGGCTCAACTGAAAATATTTAAGATTGGACATGATACATGGAGACTTCTACGATATAAGAGCGTGGCCCCTTTGCTCCATATCGAATGTAAAAAAGTTTTTGACTTGTAAATACCTTAAGTTACGCCATGATACCAGGGTTCTCTTTGGTTTAGGATTTTTTCGGATATGAAAAATTTGGGTTTTTTATCGCAAGTAAACTGGGTGACTTCTTTCAGGAGACACTTTCTTTCCATATAAAATATTTCAAGAATTCAGATGGACTTATTTTTTTTTTCATTATTTACATTGCAAATGTGAAATATTGAGTATCTTGGTATTTTCTTGAGTGACATTTTTCTCTTTGTTTGTCCACATTTAGTCTTTCCTGTCACTTTGAACCTGAAATACACCCTTGGGTTGGTGATCACCAACACATTCACATCTACTCCATCACTTGAACAACTTAATGGTCTGAATTTTCCCTTGATCCAAATGCAAAAAATGAATTTTTACTTTGAAGGAGTCTCAGTTACCTGCTGTACACCTTCACCACCAACATCTCGAAGATTGTGCACACCTGGTACACAACTGATTTTGTCCACTTCATCCAAGAACACAATTCCTGATAAAAACAAGTGCAAAAGGTTAAAGAGCATTGAGTGACAATGACAAAATGCTGATATCTAATTGGTTTGAAAGTTTGTTCAGCTTCACCTTGAAAACACAAATAAACTGACTGTTCCAAAGGCTGTATAAAGGGGGTAAGTTTCTAAACAAACTGCAATGCTGCATCAGTGGGAGTGTATAACGATGTAATTTAGTAAATTAGCCTTTGTAAAGAGTTTGAAAGCTGATGTTTTTTGAGTGTTAGCCCTTCTTCAGTGTGAAGAAATACTAAATTACCCTCTCTTTCCTTCAGCTTATTCATTAATTACCTGAGAATTTTGTATTTACATCTTTGGTTATTCATTAGGTGAGGATCTAGTACCCAACAAGTTAGACTTGGACATTGTGGTGAGGATCTAGTACCCAACAAGTTAGACTTGGACATTATGTCCTTCAATTCAAAGGCTAACATGTCTGTAGTTGCAAGCTAATTACAGTTATTTTACATAAGTTAGTACCTTGCTGTGCTCTTTCCACGCTGTTACCAGCCTCCTGTGAAGGGTGAGAAAATCAAAACAGACAATTGTACTTGATTCATAAAACTGCTGTTGAAGATGGTAAATTGTCCAATTTTTATTTCAGTTCACTCTGATAAATTCATGAGTTACACCAACCTGTAGGAGCTTGGCAATGACAGATTCAATGTCCTCACCAACATATCCAGCTTGTGTCAGAGCAGTACAATCACAGATTGCAAAGGGGACATCCAAACATCGAGCAATAGTTTGTGCAAGCAAAGTTTTACCTAACAAAAGAAAAACAATAGGTACCTGTGAGTTCTAAAATCCAACTGTTCCCTTTAGAGATTTATTCTTTGGCACATGCTCACAACAAATGTTCAAAGTCTTTAAGTTTTGAAATGCAACTAAAATGTGTCATCTTTCTAGGTCAGCAGCAAGCAGGACACATGTCCCATGTGAATCTAGCAAACAACTTAGCTTGCTATTAAGTTCTTTTAGGGTCAGTACACCATTCTATGACAAAGATTCCTCTTGGAGAGCAACTGAGGATGAAATATTCTAATGAACTTGTATCTCCTTTGTCTCACATTCAAGAAAAATGTTATACATTTCTAAATTGGATTTATTTTGTTGCTAGACTGCATAGGAAAGAGTAGAGGGTTCCCCTTACCTGAGCCAGTGGGTCCTAACAGCAAGATATTACTCTTGTCTAGTTGAATTTTGTCCACATCTGAGTCCAGGATGTCACTTCCTGCCTGTTCTCTTAGCTGACTTGGTGAATGAACACCACTTGCTCCTAAGGGAGAATTGAGGTTTGATGTCTGAGTCATGAGCATCTGCAGCTCTATCCAAAAGGAAAAGGGAAAGCATTCTCTTGAAATGTTTGTTATACATTATAACTCATTGCACACAATGTATAGTGGAAGTAGGTTAGAGGGAATGCACACAAAGAAAATTCTGCACACAAATGCACACTTCATAATTATTTTGCTGCTGTTTCTCTTAAGTTTTGATTGCAGCAATACTTGAACTTTGTTATCAGTCTAATTTCTTTGCTCACACTCAATAACTTAGAAACTATTGAAGTGCTATATATCAATAAATTTTCTCCTAAACTATGACATCACTTTTGCTAGCCTCGAATAAATTTAATAACTACACACTTAAAACCAACAGACTAATACAAATCTAGTAATTTACTTAAAATAACAATTATTTCCTAGAAAACAAATCTGTTCCTCAACAATTTTCTTGGCTAGTAAACTGCTTTGAAAAGCTTCATTAATAACTATAAAGAAAATCAAAACCAAAGTCTACAAAGAACGATGATCACCTTGTGGTGAGCCGGGGAATGGTCTCTGGAGAGGAACTGGTTTAACTTCTGTTGGTGCTGAAGATTGCTGGGCTTGCGGCAAGTTCACTGACAGTCTTTTGTAGTGATTATACACAGCTACTGACAGTACTTTCTTGGCATAACTTTGACCTATTACATACTTGTTCAAGTATTCAAAGATCTGCAAGAAGATATGACGACGTTGTGTGAATTATTTTGTGATTAAGCAACACAACACACTCAAATGTTAATAATCTGCATTTTTTATTATCTGGACTTGCTCCTCTAGTCCCATTTTTTAAAATTAATTGAAATAAGTCTTCTTTAATTCTAAGATGCATTTAACCCTTTAACTAAATTTACCAAGATCTGATTGATGATTCTCCCCCCCCCCCAAACCTCTTCCCTTAGCTGCCACACTTTCCTTGTAAAACAATAATGAAAATTGGGGATTAGATGACAATAACAACTTCTACCTGATATCTTTGAGTATTCTCAATACCTGTTTGCTGTGCAATGTATGGAGAAGTAACATGTTAATCACTTCTAGGAGTTTAAGGGTTAATCAAGGAACTACATAAAAGTACACAAACCTTTCTGGGAGGCGGTGGAGGTGCTTGTACAGCTTTGCTTTGTTTATCTGCTTCATTTCCAGAAGCTTTTTCATTATATTTAACATGAATATATCTCTTGGAATCTGATTCCGATAAGATTAGGAAGAAGTGATTACACTTGTCACACTGTACAAAACGAGTTGATGCTGCAAAACACAAAAAGCATGTTTTAAAGTGCAACAAATTATATAGTGACTTTTATCTCAAAACAAATCAATAGGAATGGAATGAAAATTTAGCAGTAAACATTTCATGAGGTGGCTCTTCTTGTCCACTATTTCCAGGTCAAATTTGAATTTGCAGTGTTGGTTTTTGTGGAGGGAGGAAAACTAGAGGACCTGGAGAAAAACACTTGGGGCAAGGACTAGAACCAACAACAAACTTAACCCACATGTGACAACAGGTCCAAGAATTGAAACTGAGATAAATATGGAGTAAAAAAATCTTGTAGCTGGTTGATGTTTATATTCAAAGACCAGAAAAAGAGTTGCAGTGTTCAAGAAAACTCCCACTGATAGTTTGTCTATCAATCCATATGTTGAACCTGTGAAGGTTTAGCAGAAATTCCAAAAAAGATATCTACTATAGTTGTTCTTGAGGGAACTTTTTGAGTATTCCTTTAAGAAAATACTTCCAGGCAAGGAAGAAAAAAAACTTTTCTGCACAAGAATTAAACCAAATACTCTTTTTTTGTTTAGATCTTGCACATGTACTGTAGGTTATCCATTGCACTCAAGTCTCAGTATGCAAGTACTCCTCTTGACTGTGGCTCAAAAGCTTTGTCATGTGGTTCAGTGAAAAAATGAAATCCTGGACTAAGTAAATGAGTAACCCACAACTTACGTTCTACAGTAGTACATGGATTTCCACATTTTGGACAACTCCATTGATTTCCTGATCCTTTGTCACTCTTGTCTTTGCTTCCACTACTTGAGGACAAAACCCTTCTGCATTTTCTTTCATGGCAGTGGTTTGAAATTCCTGAAGTACTTTGCCTTGTGCTATGAAGACATGTAACTGCAGCAAACACAGGTCTACTATCTCTTAACCCTTGATTGTACAATCTTCTGACAGTTGAGAAGCTATAACCCGATTTAATACATTCTGAAAAAGTAAAAAACACTTTTAAGTCACTGTCTTATAAGTCAGGTACTGTTTTTAGAAACATGGTTTTATTTGATTGAAACATTTGTGAAGCACAGCCGATAAAATGTTGTCCACTCACCATAATACATTTAACCTCATTTCCTCTGATACAAGCAAAACAACATTGAAATTATTCCTCCTGATCAAGGGAGTTGTTTACAGTGAGCTTTCTACCTAAAATATGTTTAATTTAATTTGCAAATTTTCTTTCTTTTAGATAAATAGTAAAAAAACAATTCCACAGAGATCAAGAGTCTTATTATGACAAAAGTATGGCAAACAAAGTTCTGTCAATTTTAGAATGGTCAGTTGGATAACTAGAGAAAATATTTTTCTTCAAACTAATGTGAAAATGAGGGAATAAGGTACAAAGAAATTGTTGTCCTGTTATTACCTAAAAAGTATTTTAAAAGTAGAGTATGTCATAAACATGTGATATGGGCTTTTATTATTTTTCTTAGAAGGTACAGTAACAAATCCTGCAATCTGATTGGTTCTTAGCGCAGTCTGGATTTTCCTATCTATCCCCACCGGCACAGTAATGCTTTTGCAAGTCACCAAGTATACCCCTCACTAAGTTGCCCTTTTTCAAAAATATATTCCATTTTGCTGGCTGGGCATTATGTTTAAGCAAATCAAGCTGCTGAATACCTTATTAATCCCCTTTTTTCTCTCTCTATCTCAAATCACTTTGGTTGCCAGCAAAAACATGTTTTCAAAGAGAAAAAGCCACATTAAATTCCCCTACGTTCTAGTTTAATACTCTCATTTGACTTGAGTTTTTTTGGTGGAAAAAGACCAGATTTACACATGCCATTGCAGCAAACAAAGAAGCAAACTTCCACAGTTGGAAGCCTTTTAAATCACCTTTATTGTTACACAAATAAAAATATTTTGCCTCTCTCTTTAATTTCAACCTCTATTTCAACTACCATTTACTTTTCAAAAAACTGTTCAATCTAAGAGGATCTTGCCATAATTACAGCCCTAAATCATTCAGGTTCTTTTGGCAAGTATTTTGTTAAGTTTTAGAAAATATAAGGATGTTATTCACCAGCCTGGGTTGGTCTGTATTGGGAAAAACTATGTCCTTTGTCTTGAGTACTGCCTGAGGCCATAGGCCAAGGGCAGTACTCAAGACCTTAGGCACAGTTTTTCCCAATATGGACCTCCCTAGGAGCAAATAACATACACATATTTTACTAAAACAAACTTAACTAGTATTTCAAACAACAATTCTCCAAAACTTTCAGTTCTGTTTCCAGATCATTTATCTTGCTTTCATCACTCAGTTTCCCCAGAGACAATCACAACAAGGTTAAAAATTGATCAACCACAGTAAAATAATAAACTAGAAATGGTTTCATTTAGAGAATCAGAACACAATATTGAACTTTTCACCACAAAAATGCAATATCACGATGCTGTTTACAGTCGAGCTCTAAGACAATCTTAAAAATATTCTAGATTCCTGTAAGAAAGTTTGACTTAATGTTCTCATCAAAACAAAGTCTACAAAAAGATAAAGCATAAATTAGCTAAAGAGAGTGAAAACAGAACAAAATTGATTTTCACTTCAAGGTTTCTGTTGCACTCAAACAGAAAGAAGGAGGACGTTTGAATTGATTGAAAAAAACAGCTCTGTTTTCACTTTTGTTATGTCATATGACGACGCTTACATAATGAAAATTCTATTATCTACTACAGTCCAAAGGGCGAACAAAAACGTCACATAATTGACCGTAAAATTCGAATGTTGCGAGAGTGGTAAAAGAAATAATCGCATGCCTAAGAAATCACCCAAATGCTTTATTTTCCCAAGAAAACATCCACGTAAAATTCAACTTAGTTTACAAAATGGACATCATAGGATTGTGGAAACAACTGAGTAAGCGGATGTAGTGAGATCACATACCATGCGCCTTCAGTCCGACCTCTCCTAAAACGCAAATTCTTCCAAAGTGATGTCTCATTTAGTATAATATTTAATGTTCGCCTGAGTTTCGAAGAAAGTCTTCGCTCATATGCGTCATAAAAGCTGAACAGCTCAAATTAATGGCAAAATATGTTTTGGTAAAGGTACAATGGACCGGTTGTCAAATAAATTGAACACTCAGAGGCCGCACAAGGAAAAAGCACGGTCTTTTAAACGCTACCACCGTAAAGTAAAACCTTACCTTTTGAACTGTAGATCTGTTTACTGTTCCCTCCAAGGAATCTTAAGGAAGCGGGTATTCTAAACATGTTTATGCCTTGATAAACGACGACAATACTGGATGTAAAATTTAGGATTCTCGAAACAATCTCACTAAATAGGCAAGGATTGAACTAAAATGTCAGTATGTATACTATATGATAGTTCTGAAATCTTAACCAGTGTATAAATATGAGAATGGACTGGTTTTGATGACTAACAAACGAGAAAAAAAGCGAAAACCCACACACGAAGTATACGCTCACATTACATCAGTTCGCCATCTTTGTTTTCACTAAACGGCGCGTGCGTAGTATCATAACAAATACAATTCAAGTCATGCCCCACCCTACCCAACACGGTTTTGTTATGCAACGCCTTGTCCTCTCTCTCTTCACGAGTGACCAGCTGGTTATTTCTCCTAAGCTTTAGTTCCATGGTAAAACTAATATAATGCCTCAGAAAGGGTTTGAAAAACGTCCATTGTGCAAAGTTCTCAATGCACTTCTCTCGTCGCGCTTACTAATGGTGCGCATGGCTTCTCGCTGTCGAAAAGGTAGGGAACTCGCGAACTTTTTGTCACATGTTCACAGGAAGAGAAGGAGAGAAGCTTGCTGAAGTTCTCAATTTTGTTATACAAAAGTTTCTCGATTATTACCACGGGATAATCGCATATCCTATGGGCCTTGAATCCTCGAGAGCCAATTCTAAACACCATCATCTATGGAGATGAAGTAAATCGGGGAAGATTTACAAGCCCGTCCACACATTTTAGGATGAAAGTCTCACCGTGCAAGAAAAAAATTATGCGTATCTCAGTTTTTGGTGCGTTTTAAGGATAGTCCTTGATCCGCAGAGATAACTCCTAAAGAAAATTCCTTTGAAATAAAAAATTCCATCGGAATAGGCAAGTGCGAGATCCAAGCTTTTCGTTTGACAGTGTTGTTGTGGTAGTCTTCCAGAGGATTACAATTATACAGAGAAATTCACTTCTGCTCGGTGATTTTATTTTTGTTTGTTTTTTTACAGCTACTATTCCTATTTTTTTAAAATTTCAAATTATTTTTAAATGATCAGCATTGCACTTTGATATTCAGAAGATAAAAATCACGTTGGCCGTTTTTATGCTAGAGACGTTAAAGTTGTCTAAGACGTTAAAGTCGTCTCGAGACGACTTTAACGTCTTAGACAACTTTAACGTCTCTAGCATAAAAACGGCCATTTATATTCTCCCATTCAATTTATGTGCACATACGTTTAAAAACCCGTAAAGAAAACCTATTCATCACGCGAAGTCCTTTCCGAATTTTTTTGGAGTATTTTGAATTTTCATTCAGATTCACCAAACTTACAATCGTTGGACTATACGTTCCCATCACTAGCTTTATCTCAGTTGCACATTACATAGGAAGATGGCTGCCAGCTCAACAAAATCGTATTGCGTGACGAGTTCCCTCTCTCAATTGCGTTACTAAATACAAGTGTGACACCGCTAGTCGCGGGGCTGTTCTCCTTCTGATTCACCGACAGTTTCGCTGTCATCGTCTTCTTCCTCCTCACTACAAGAATCTTCGTTTATTGAATCTCTATTTCCTTCTCCACTGCTAGCCTTAAAGAGATTCAGTAGATCCATAAAACGCTTTTTCACCTGCAAGTAGTACAAAAAAATGGTCATCATACCGTGGTAACTTGAAAACTTTGCTGTAGTGTAGCCTCCTAGGCGAACATTCTCAGGCTCGTCACGCAATTTTCCTCCCTACGAAGGCGTGATAGGGACGAATAATTACGTGACGAGCCTAAGAGCGGCTGCGTAGGACTGGGATACAATTCTTACATATTTTGCGGATTGCTCTTGATGTTTTGTTATTCATTGTTGATTGCCGTAAACTGTTTGTTTTAATTGCCCGTATTGAGTGCTCTTGTTTTGAATGGTTCGGTATTACTTTCGAAGACATCAGTTACCGGGTACTGTCACTGGAAAATCAAATTTAACTTGAAAATATTTCGTTTCTTTCCTGATCAATGTTTCGTGTCGTGAAAGGTTTGCACGTGCTCATAAGAAGTTTTCCTGTTCCGGTATATTTAGTAGTTGATTAAGTAAGCTATTATTTCTTGTCGCTAACATTGATTTGTGGAATGTCAAAGGAAGTATTAACTGGCATCGTGTGATCGAGCCTTTACAAACTAAACAATGATGTATTTAATCGCTAGTCGCTAGTAAAACCGCATGCGTAGATTAACACTATGATTGTCGAGCAAGCCGATGTAACAGGAAATTAGTGGCCACGAATCATTGAAGAATGTGTAAAACAAAACTGGAACTTTGTCAAGTTAGCTTAAATTATCTTACCACTCCGGACTTATGTATCTGGGTGTGTGTATCCGTAGCTAATAAAACAGCATTTTTGTAACTCAAAATAGATGGGATTGAGTTAGGTCGAAAGACAGAACATGTAATGTTGGATTGTGAAGAATAAAGTCAAGTTAACCGAAAGTATACAGTCCAAGTCTGTAGAACCAGCGTGTGCAGAGTTTCCTTCTAACGTAGTGAGAAATTCTGCGAAATTTCGCTGCTTGAACAAAATACGTGGTTTTATCCTATATTAAGTCCTCAGGGGCTGAAGCGTGAACGAGAAATACCAGCAGTCCGCACACCCACCTCATCTGCTGATTTCTTTTCTAATCCCTTTGCAATTCGTTCGAAAGTTTCAGGTTTAGGACCCATCTTTTGGCACGTCTGTAATATCACTCTGTCTTCCTCCCTAAAGAAAGTTGAAGAAAATAAGATCAGTCATTCCTAATATTTCACTCTCTAAATGTAAGGTGAAATCAGATAGCCAGTTGGTCATGAATCAGAGTCTAGATTATGCTAATTTAAAGGAGGGATAATATGCTTCCAGTTTCTTACTCACATTTAAGATTTGATACGACTTTAACCACTCCTTGCAACCGATTGGATGAGGACAAAAATATTCAAGCGCGGTTTAATCTAAAACCCCTAAGTCTCAAATTTGTTTGAGTCCAAAAGAAAATTTAAAAGGTCTAAGAACCAAAGAATGCAGTACGACAAAACTGAAAAAGAAAAGAAATTACTCACTTTGTCCACAGCAGGACCACTTGTCCGTCTTGACTACGTTGAAGATTCTTAGCTGGTACCACAGCACCACCAGACACAACATTTGCAGCATCGCTATCGCATCCACTTGCCTCGGCGTCTACGTCACTCTTGATGACGTCGCCATCGATATCGTCACCATACATAAAGTCGTCATCGTCATCCTCTTCGTACCCGTCATGCTCTATGTCGGAATTCCCATCATCCTCTTGTTCCTCGCTATCGGAGGTTCTCCGCTCGCCTTGTACATCATGTTCGAGGCTTAAAGAGTCGGGATTGTTGGAGCTGCCTTCCTCTCCGCGGAAGCTGTCGTTGCTAGTTTCCGATTGTAGTGATGTGGTGACAGAAAGAGGTGCTTCAAGTGTGCTCACTTCAGCTCTCTGCTCATCCATTCCACTCCCCTCCTCAGCCGATTCTGTATTTGCCGACATTTCAGAGGAAGGCTTCACGTTTTTCGCTGCATTATCTTCTTGAATTTTCCCTGTGAGATTGTCATGTTTAACCTCCGCCTTTGACAGATCCTTTCCGCCTGAGTTACTAGTTTTCGCTTGACTGGCTTTGTTCCTGTTTCCCATTTGTTTGCTTACATTTCCTTGTTGTTTTGTTCCTTTCGCCGTCGCACAAGGCTTTCTTGCCTTTCTTGAGTTCGAGTTTTTTTGCTGAGTGTCTCCCTTGGCTGGTCTGCCTTTGATTTTCTTGGGCTCCATAAAGCATGGTATAACTACTTCCTCAAAGTCATCTACCTTAGGAAACAAAGCACGGCTGCGTTATTATTTTCACTCCTAGAGGGGCATAGGTTGTCCTCTTGAGTAACACATATCCCTTCACTGGATGGTTGGGGAGGCGTTCTCCCTCCTGAGATCTAAATTCAAATTCTCCCCTCTAAGTGCTATATATTTCATTGTAAAATAGTTTATTTCTAACTCAAGATCACACCCACTAAGGGCCTATTTACACGATACGACTTTGTCGCATGCGACAAGCTTACGATAGGCTTACGACACGAATTGTTTCGTGTAAATCAAACCTACAACTCGCTTACGACTCTTAAGTCATGTCGTAGGCCTGTCGTGAGCTTGTCGCATGCGACAAAGTCGTGCCGTGTAAATAGGCCTTAACTGATACGTTTGTCGATCCTCCTCATCTGTTTACAGAAAACTTTACAAAGAACAAAATTAGAATTCCAGTGCAATTTACGAAAACTTCTCATTTTATACTTTTTTTTTGGCTTTACTGAAGTCTAAAAACTTTTTACTATACCTCTGGTTCACTTCCACTTCCAAATTCAATTTCCTCAAAATCGTCGTCGGAACTATAAAAATGAAAGGAAGAGCATACAACGTATTTTTTTATGTCTAAAATAGGAAATACAGGGTCATACAATCCCCTACCACACAGAAATATAGGGTCATACAATCCCTTATCACACGGAAATACAGGGTCATACAATCCCTTACCACACAGAACTATAGGGTCATACAATCGCTTACCACACGGGCGGTTTCAAGTCATCAAAAAAGGAGTAGAATTCTTCAATAAGATGGACCTGTCCTTTTAACATCGGAATAATGATTTGCCGTAACTGAAACGATAAAAACAATAACGCATGACACCTCTACTCTGTGTACAATAACCGGGTTGCATATTACACGACACAACATGAGGGCAAGTCCATACAATATCGTGAACAATCAGCGATTTGCTTCTGTACAGGCCTTTATTCATACACGGTATGAAAACAGCAGAGTTGATTTTTGTACCATGAAAATTTTGCGGGTCCAAGACTGGGTCGGAGCCCCAAAGAGAAACATGGGATATGAAAATCTACGAATGCTGCGACTTTCGATGACACGTCGATTATTATTGCAGTTTTTGTAAGTTTTCCAATGATGGCCAGCAGAGACACGTGGAACACTGAAACAAAATTTACCTGGACGAAGTAGCCTACTTTTGGTTAATGAACCAAAGCAAAATAGTTTTCTCTGATGTACCTCCAAAGGATCTTTCACTAATTTCTTATTCCATGAATCGAAAGCGTTGATGATTTTCCTGAACTGTGAAGGACTCCGCTGGAAGTGCACCTTCAAATTAAAAAAATATATTTCTTACTTAATTAGAACATTCAATCCTTATGTCCCTAAGAAAGACCGAAAAATAAATTTCTACTTACAA